CCCATCGGCCGTCAGTTCTTCGTACTATGTGCCCTGCCCACTGCCACTTCAGCTGAAAAACGCAGCGTGGGACGTCCACCCACAAGGTGGACCGACGATCTGATAAAGGTAGCAGGAAGGCGCTGGATGCAGGCCGCTACCAACCGTGCGATGTGGAAGTCATTGGGGGAGGCCTATTTTCAGCTGTGGTAGTCCTATGGCTGAAATGATGATGATGATGATGACCTGTACTGCAAAAAACCGTACCTGCAAACAACGAGATTGTGTCGTGTTCACACAAATTCAGTTTTGCAAGATCCAGAGAAAAGGCCCCTAAGAAGTGTGGATTAGCTAAGTGCAGTTAAGCGAGTATTAAGGGAGCCTGTATTCAGAATTTACAACGCATTAAACAGAGAACGGGCAGCAGCGCTCTTTGATGAACATTACTCTTTTTAAACTACCAAGCGTGAAAATTATGGAAAAACCCTTCACTAAAGTGGAGGAACATTGTCTGGTCTATGGTCAATTCAATCTTTTCACCCATCATGACTTTGTACCACACGAAGTCCAATCGGCAGAACCAATCACGGCTGTTAAACGGCTGCCAGCGGTGTAGTGGTGGACCGTTGCATCGGGCCACGAGAACAGCGTGTTCCAAATTCAGGTTTTTATAGGCAGGGAATATTCCCACCTCATGTTCCCACTGCTGCAACTTCTGTGGGCCAGTATCTTCAGCTTGACCTTGAGAAAGTTCTTGAAATGCTACCACGGACTGGAAGCAGTTCCGTTAGGCACACTCGGTGGACTGACGATCTGGTTAAGGTGGTTCTTGTTACATAATGTCTTTCGAGATAATGTCGTCATATATCTTTTATTTTTTGCGCAATCATCCATTCGCGCTATTATAGTATTCACGAGCAAGTGTTTTTCGCGCAAATGTTCTGATATGGGTGAAGGTTGCTTAATAGCAGGCAGCACAGTACCTACCTTGGGAAATCCTTGGGGAAGCCATTGTTCAGCAATAGACATGCTTTCATCATCATCATCATCATCATCATCATCATCATCAAGACGTCCACTGCTGAACATGGGCCTCCCCCAATGACTTCCACATCGCACGGTTGTTAGCGGCCTGCATTCAGCGCCTTCCTGCTTACCTTTATCAGGTCGTCGGTCCACCTGACTGACCACTGCAATTTCTGATGCTTTGGTTGAAAAAAGAAAAAAGGATTAAACCCGTCCCGTATTTTCTATGGCCTCACGCTCAACACAGGCCGTATACAATGTGGACAGCGACAATTAAGATCTGGATCTAATAGATTTGGCCCGGGGAAAGTGGACAGTGCCCGGGAATTCGGGTCACACTACACTATAGGAAGTCTCGGATTGTGTACTTCAGTTGTTTACGGTTAGGGCTTTTGTAGGTAGTGTAAGATGCATGGGAGTGTATGGAGCCGGGCTCGCAGATTAAATCGGTGAAAAATAGTTATTTTCGTTTGTTGACTCCTAAATTATCTATTTTAGGTCTAACGCTTTACTAAGTGCCTGAGGTATGGATCGGCACGAGAGGGTGTTTTTGTAGACGTTAAAAGTCAGCAAGACTTCAGATGTGTTTCAGATTTTTATGCTCTCGCATCTCGATATTAGGTACTTACATACACCGGCTTTGGCTTTCTGTAAATTTCGCTAGGATATAAGGTATCAAAATAATATTAGCAAATACCTGCTAGCTAAACCTATTGACTATTGTCAAGCTATCGATCTAGATTTAGCTAAGGTCCGATTTTTCAATCGTCGGATAACTCTATACTGAAGAATAAACTTGTCATTTTGACATATTTCCCATACTGAAACTTTTTTTTTCCTTTTTTTTTGCATAACAAGGTAACTGTCAATGTACCAAACTTATTCTTCAGTTAAAACTTATCCAACAAAAATCAGCCCTAAGTTGTAAAAACTACACATCTCAAGTTTGTTCTCTTCATCACTTGACATTTAAATAGATCGAAATTGTGTAACTTAACGCCTTAGCGCCGTCAAATATTAAACCTTACCTGCTTGTGTCAAGGTCTAAAATAAATATACTAATGACACTTTTGTTTACAAACTTGGCTAGACGCACTGCCGCGTGTCGGTTTTTCCTACAATCGCAAGACCTTAAAAGAATTTAATGACTTTAGGGGCTTAGGGGATAAATGTAGCGCCATTTTAAGAGAAGTTTTTATTGTGGCCATGGTACAGTTGCCAATAAATCAGACTACATTTTAGATGCAAAATCACACCTATTACAAAATATAAATACCAATTTTCTGTAAATAGCAATTTTGAAAAAGACATTCTTAAGCATATTTTTGGTCAAAATAAAATCCTAAATGGGTAACATTGGGCTGTTTGGCAAAGCCTTTAATAATGGGCCGGTTGTTATCGAGAATCGAGATCTAGTTCCGACAGGGAGGCATTTGGGAAACAGCCAAATAAACACAAATTAAAGGTAAATAAAGCTGTGCCCAGTTTCATCTTCAGGTCATTTAGTCTCCACTGCAGGAGCACGACCCTCTAATTAACCAGAGGCAAATGGAGGATTTGGCCTACACTCCCCACGCTGGCCAGACGGGTTGGATGTTCGCATATTTCCTATTCCTATCCTTGAGAAGACTGATCCCATTCTACTCTGCCGAAACAACACGGTTATTTGTTTATGAATTATAACGGAAGACGTACTGTGGGTAGGCCCCCAACTAGGTGGACCGATGATCTTGTGAAGGTCGCGGGAGGCGGCTGGATGTGTGCTTCGCAGGACCGGTCTTTCTGGAAATCCTTGGTGGAGACCTTTGTCCAGCAGTGGACGTTATTTGGCTAAAACGAACGAACGAATTATAACCAACCCCAAAAATCACATAATACTGCGATATTTTAAAAATATAACGCCATCTATTGATTGCCTTTAGAACTAAGCCTATTCTTAGTTCTTACACTGTTCAATAGAGAAAGAATAAAGAAATAGAGAAAGGAGACATGTAAAGTGCCCCATAAGGGCTACCTTTTCTTTTTTAGTTTTTACTACATTTTGACGTTCATAAGACATAGACCTGTTCTACTTGAGACTTGTGGTCTAAACTGAATAAATATTTTTGATTTTGATTTTATAATTTGAAATTTATAACGGAGGGAGATGTAATAAAATAGACTCTCAGTACAGCCCTGCAAAGTCCTAAAACGAGAATCCATCAATTATTCATACATTTTCCTGCTCCAATTCTGTCGTGGACTCAGAAAGTCTCGAATCTAGATTAATAGGCTTTCGGTCTAATGTATTTATGATTTTGGCTGGAGGCTCGTTTGTGTGAGATTTATATCGATCGAACCTGTGAACTCGGATGGAAATAAAATATGTGTGGTTGGATGGCTCGGTCGTTTCTGTTTAATTAAGCAATACCTTGGTGATGTTCTACTAGTATAATAATTATTGTAATTTACAAGCTTTTATTGTAAAGTACAAGCTTTGCTTAGTTTGGGGCTAGAGGCGCAGTGTAAAATGTCAGAAGATATTTATTATTATTTATTATTATTTATTATTAATTATGTACATAATTATAAACTAAGTATTATAGGTATCTTTTTGTATTGGTCTGAGTGTTTCTATGTAATAAATATTTGCAAAAATAACTATTTTAAGAAGTTTATATCCGTTGGCAACTTTTTTGACAGTTTAACTTTCCCCCGGAAAAAACTTGAACTGCACTGGTTGGGTTTTTATTGGCGGTCAAGCTGTAGATCCTGGCTACACAGGAGTTGATGCGATGGGAAGAAGAGGTAGAAATAGTCCCGTGCCAACGATTTCGTACTCGTGGGAATCATTTGAATTTTCCTTCCTCGTAACTGGGCTACGCAACGCATCACCCTTCAGCCAGTAGGGGCGGAGAAGTAAAGAAAAATGTTGCAAAAACGGGAAATGTATTCAAACTATTCGTTAGTCGCGGGCACAAATAGTGAAGATATACTGATCCCTTTTACTGTGGCCACTCTAACACGTCTCTCGTTCCCACGGTCCTAAACACCGACGCGGCGTATATAGGCCAGATCGTTGTCGCTTGTTTGTCAGCCATCCTATTTTATATACCAAATTAAATATAGCGACGAATACGGTGCAAAGGGAGATATAGTGCGAATATTGCGTGGTGCAAGAACACTGAACCGGCGTATATAGGCCATCCTATTTTATATACCACTATTATACGTGTAACGTATAGCGATGAATATGGCGCAAAGGGATATATTGTGTGCGAATATTGCGTGATACAAGAACACTTAAACGGCGTATATAGGCTTAGATCGTTGTCAGCCCTCACATTTTATACGATTCAATTAAATATAGCGACGAATATAATGCAAAGGGATATATTGTGCGTGAATATTTGCGTCCTGCAATTTTTGATATTATCATAATAATCATAAGTAAACATAAAATGAGACGTTTATTTTGGAGGTTGTATGGAAGGAAGCACATAAAGCTTAATATAATAAACTTCTTAGTAGGGTACTCTTGTCAGAATAGTTGTGTTATGGTTGCGCTGACGAGGTACATGGTGGGGTGATGTCGTCTCCGAGGGTAGCTCTCCTGGCGATGTGCTTCCATTTCTGACTGGACCATGGTGGACTCAGTGGCTTTTGTGATGGCGTCTACCCAGCGTTGGCGTTCGACAGCTAAACACAAACATATTATTATGTATTTGTGATTGCATCATCATAATCATGTTTGTCATCTTTATGTATTTAGTCTCCACTGACCACCTTCTCCAATTTACCAGAGGCAAATGTAGAATTTGTCCTACACTCCCCACGCTGGCCAGACGGGTTGGGGAGGCCTGATGTTCGCATGTGTCCCTTAGTCGTCTCTTAAAGAGCTCAGATATCCACAGGAAGAATGGGAATAGACCTATTCTACTTGAGTCTTGAGAGAGTACTTGAGACTGGAGGTTTTAAGATGTTGAAAATTAATTATATATTTTTTTCTATTGCAGGTTCTGCCATTCCCACTTCATCCAAGCTGAGCAAAGATGTCGACCACAGATCTACGCTGTTATTCGAGTAAGTTATACATAATTATACTGATTACAAAGGGAACTATGTTTCATTTATATCTTCTGACTAGTACATTTCGTTATGATTGACAACCAGCCGGGCAAGGATGCGCGCCGTGATAAAATGTTATCGACGATTTTAGACGACAAGTGTATGGGCTTATCTGTAAAATCGAAAATGCCTCGATAAAAGTTTATCGTGATGCGCATCCTAGACCTACAAGACTTATTATTTTGTTTATTGAAGTATTATCTGCTCCATTCAATCCATATACAAGAGAAAATAACTTTTTCTAACTAAGAAATACTTATGTGATTTCAGAGCAAACCGCCAAGTACCTAAAATAAAAGTAGGACCTGATCTCAGAAGCGCAAGAAAACCGAAACAACATACTAATATGTAAGTATATTAATATATACCGTATAAATAAATAAGAACTAAAAGGGTATCTTCGGCTCATTGGACGAAATTCTATGTTTTCGGCGACCGAACTTTACTTAAATTACATATTATCTTAAACAACTGTCACCTCCTAGCCTGAGCCGCCTAGAGACGCATGATATGGGGCCGACCCCAAATAAAATGGGAAAGGGCCAAGCAAAGAAGAAAAACTGTCCCCTCCCTAGGTTGTCTGGAAGTGACCGCTTTCTAGTACAATAAGACTGCCTACATTGTGCCGTCTCTTTTTGGCATTTTTTGCCTTTTCTTTTATATTTCTGTTTCGTGGCAATGTTTTTATTTTATTATCAAACTCATTTCTACTAAAAAAATAATTTCAGCCTAAAACCACCACCAGCCCAGATCTCAGAGCAAGCCCCGCAAATGCACCAAACGTCACAGCTGTCAAAGCCGCCATTTTTCCCGCCATTACCGTTCGCGCTCCCGCCAAAACCGACATCTGACGTTGAAATCAAGAACTTTCTTCTCAACACAGCGCTGCAGAACGCGTTGACGGGTTCGTTGAATCAGCTGACGCAACGGAAAGCATTTACGAAGACAGTTAAAGATACAGAGGCAGCTGGGAATGATGATGGGCAGAATAGGAGGAGACTGCACAAGTGTGATGTGGTGGGGTGTCATAAGGTGTACACGAAGAGCTCCCATTTGAAAGCACATAAACGGACACATACTGGTAAGCTTGCACTTTTATTTTCACTATTGATTGACTTAGCAAATCACAAAAAATTCATATTAATATCCGTATTTATCGTCATCTTCAGGTAATTAGAGGCAAATAGAGCATTTAGCCTACACTCCCTATGCTGGTCAGTCGGGTTGGCGAGGTCTGATGTTCGCATAATACTTGTTCCTTAATAGTCTTACCACAAAGACCTGCGCCGCCCGCATCCTGGCACCTCCCGCGACCTTCACCAGATCGTCGGTCCACCTAGTGGGAGGCCTGCCCACGCTACGTCTTCCGGCTCGTGGTCGCCACTCAAGAACTTTCCTGTTCCAGCGGCCATCAGCTCTAAGAGCTATGTGCCCCGCCCACTGCCACTTGATTTTAGCGACTCTGCGGGCTATGTCAGTCACTCTGCTTCTCCTACGGATCTCTTCATTTCTAATTTGCCTTATTGGCCTGGGGGGGGGGGGGCTTTGTCCAGCAGTAGACGTCTTTCGGCTGAAACGAACGATCGAACGGTCTTACGAAATCCACAGAAAGAGGTTGGTTAATACTCCACCGGAACAACAGGATTCGTATTGATGCAATTAGCTTGCATAATCGTGCCGGGTGGCCAGAGACTACCTACTAAAATTTCCATAGACAAAAAATAATTAAATTGTAGTCTTGTACAGGCCGATAGGTCGCGCTGTCGTCCAATAAGCGGGTTTACTATACCTTATACTAATAAATAATTTGGATTTTTCTCATCCAGGCGAGAAGCCATACTCCTGCGGCTGGGCAGGTTGCTCGTGGCGCTTCGCCCGCTCCGACGAGCTGACCCGCCACACTCGGAAGCACACCGGCCACAGACCATTCACTTGTGCGCTGTGCAGACGATCCTTTGCTAGGTCTGACCATCTAGGACTGCATATGAGGAGGCACTAGCAAATGGAACAAAAGAACAACCCTGAAGAAGACCCTTAAACCCAAGATACTAAGCGAGAAGCAAACACCCAAGGAGAAACGAGTTTAAGAGCAGGTTAGATGTAGTATAATAGGTGAGATGCGGTAACATAAAGACGCAAGTACTAGGTGAAGAACATGCTAGGGACACACTTCAAGTAGAGCCCTACACCCATGACACTAAGCAAGAAGCCCAAGACCCATAAAGAGACCCTAAGAGAGAAGACTACACCCAAGACTCAACACATGATCTATAAGGCGATCAGAGAGCAGGTTAGATGTAATATAGCGTGTCAGATGCAATTTAACAGGCTAGATGTAAGATTGACAGGTCAGATGTAAAGATAAAGTCCACTGAGTAACATAAAATGTCCAATGAGTAACTTAAAATGTTTAATGAGTAACTAAAATGTCCAATAAGTAACTTAGAATGTCCACTGAGCATCATAAAGGGTCTACTAATTTAACACATTGAACGCCAACGCGGTCAATGTTGTCCGACACTGCACTTTCCTACCAGGCCAAGTAAAAATTTCAATTTTTTTCAATTTTCGTCGATTGTTTTTTTTTGTTAAATCGTTACATTATAAACATAAATAAAGGATTTTATTAACATATAGTTGTTTTTGAGTCTTTACATCGAATTATTAAGCGTCGGACATCATTGACCCCCATGGCCCCAGCGAGCGAAAATTCGAAAATCCGTTCCGTAGGGCCGCGCGGTCATGTTGTCGACCATCCCCGCTCGCATCCAAAAAAAAAAAGGAGAACAACCAAAAAAATAAAGAGTTGTACATTGGTAGGTTTTTGATATATTATATTACGCATAAATAGGAATATTATAAGGTATAAAATGAGAAACGAAACTAGCAGGATAAGTCTTAAATAGTGATTAAAAATAATAATAAATAAATCGATGATACCGTAAAAGGAATGCTAAAAGTGATTTTTTTCAAATTGTTTTAATTAAAAAAGATTTAAATTTTATTTAAAAATTTGAATTTATCAATAATTCGTATAAAAGTTGTCCAAAACTGAGTCGTCCCAGCTATGGCATTGTCAGGAAGGCGCTACTATCAATACTGAACTATTAGTTCCCATTTTTGCCTCGTTGGACAGCCATATAATTATGAAATTTACAGGAAGGTGCTACTAACAACTGGGTTATTAATCCAATTTTTGCGACTTGACGTTTTAGAAATTGTTTGACTGTATTTTGAATTTTTCATCCATCACTGTAGTGTCACTTTCGATCGGTTCTTTTTTCAAAACAATATTGAATTGTCAGTATATCTACAAATAATATTTAAAAATATACTTAAAATTAAAAATAATTATAATGACATAGCTGATTTAACATGCCAATAATTTGACCTACATGATTAATAAAAAAAGTTCTAGAATAGAGTATCGATAAGAGAAAAAATGTTTTTTTCATACATTAAACAAATCTATTTTTCTCGACAATCCTGGTAGGTGTAAGCATCTAATAAGTACAATAATTTATGCCACTAATAAGGTTTTAAATGGCATAAGTTTTGTAGCTGTACAAAGAACTTAGTACCTGTACCAACCCTTCATACAAAGTGGTTGTTCAACAATGAAAGTGATTTTTTTTATTGTCCTGCATATTATAAATTATATAAAATAAGTAAACGATATGTTTTAATTAATAAACCGTTATTATCTTGCTAAAAAGTTGATAAATTTGCAAAAATGCATTGTATAATTACCATGTTTCATTGCGCTACCGTTATCCACATTTTTTTTTCTAAGTCCGAGCTTTACCTGAGAACCAAGTGACGTACACTAATCTTGGGAGCCGCGCGGGTCAGCTTATATGAGAATTATTGAAGAAATGCTGTCCATCGGCTCAATACAGAAGTTTAAACATAGGTCTGACTCGCGGTCATCATTGTCCGACGCGGCCCGAACGGAAAGTTAAAGTGTCGCCCATCATTGTCCCCCATGGCCCGAACGGAACAGTGCCATTTTTAGGCTGGCAGCGAAGGTGTTAAACAGTCCCCAAGTGACCTAAAAACACTGACTCTTTCACTTTTCCTCCTTTATTGGTGATGTATTGCTAGATCAAACCACCTGAAACTGCATATTAGGGGACTTTAAATACACTAAATCTATTATGAAAAAAGAGCACTGTTACGTAACAAGCTCTACTCCTGATGTTAGTACTTTTGAGCATCAGGCCCTCAGGCCACTTGCAAGCACAGCGGCCACCGGCCATTCACGTGTGCTCTATGCAGACGATCTTTTGCTAGGTCTGACCATCTGGGGCTGCATATGAGGAGGCACTAATAACTGGGACCTTAACAAAACGCCTGCACCCAAGATACTAAGGAAAAAGCAAGGACCCATGAGGAGACCCTATGAGAAAAGCCTACACCTTTAATAAATAAATTCTCTACAAATTTTGTCCAATAAAAAATTTTATACGGTGAACCGTTTTCGAGATAGAGGGCGGCCGCTAGTACTTATAATAAATCTGTAGAGGTCAATTCTGTACATGAAATATATTTTCAAAATAACTATCAGGGGGTGATTAGTGATCGATACTGATGCCAAAAATGCAATCAGTAAAATTTTTGTCTGTCTGTCTGTCCGTCTGTATGTTCCTTATAGAAACAAAAACTACTCGACGGATTTTAACGAAACTTGGTACAATTATTCTTCATATACCTAGGCAGGTTATAGTATACTTAGGAATTCCCACGGGAACAAGAATTAGCGGGAAAATCCTTTTGTATGAAAAATCTAAACGCTTAACGGAAGTTAGACGCTTGAAATTTGGCATGTAGGTACCTTAGTAAACTTAAAGCTTATTTACAACAAGGAATTCCCGAAATTCCCACGGGAATTAGCGCTTAAGTTGACCTGAAGTGATGCAGTGACCGCGCGCTCTCCGCCCTCTATCTCGAAAACGGTTAACCGTATAAAAAAATTTTTGAAGCAAAATTTGTAGAGAATTTAGTATTCTACAATATTGATAATAAATACAAATAGCAAAAAAACCCATAGGAAATGAGATATTTCTAAAAAACGCCCAATATACCGATTTTTGTGACCATTGACCTTGAAATTTAATAGTTGCTTACACCCACCATATGTAGGTTTTGAGACAACTTTTAGGGTGTCAATATACACGTATTTACAGACTTACAGCTGGGTATCTCGAATTCCGAGGTGAACTTACTATAATGACTGGACTAAATAATACATTTATAAATGAAGCTAAAATTTTATACTAGGTGTTATATACGCTCAATTTTTTTAGAAGAAAGATCTAGACGTTATACGTGACAGTATATAAATTGTAATATGTGACAGTATTACATAATTTAAGAATAAAAGTTATGTAAATGCATTGAAATGTATGACAATTTCATACAAGATGAAGACTTTTCGCTCAAATCAATATTATAATAATATCTTTACTGTGAAAATCGACAGAATTAGTTTAGTGACAATAATTAAACCATAGCGGCATTATTTCATTAACTTACGGCCAGTACATTTACACATTTATTTTTATAGATTTTAAGTATTATTATAAGTTAGTTAAGTATAATAGTTTTACATCTCCTGAACGTCAATTTGATGGAAAAATAAGGAACAGACATGATTTTTAATTAAAAAACTACTCGCTTGTTGACAGGAGTGAAGTTATTTTAAGTAACCGGTTTATAAAATGCCATCAACATTGCAATTTAAACCGTAGTAATATAATATTAAAGTCACCTTACTGTTTTTCTTCAGAGCACTCTTTCAAATACATAGTTATTAAATAATAATTCTAAATTTTAGAGTTTAAGTAAGCATATAAAAATAAAATCTATATTAATAATTTCGTCAAGGGGTACGGTAGACTGGATCGAAACCTTATATGAATAACAAAGCATAAAAAAATATCGATTTTGAGTCGACAACATATATCCGCAAAATTCGGATAATGGAGAATTTCGTTAAATTCCGATGGCACTGACAAACAATTTCAAACAAACCGCTGTCGCCATCTTTAGTAGTTCACTATCCACTCACTATGCGATCAGCGCCAAAACCTTACTACCTCTTTGCTGGGTTGTCATCGATCCATAAATAAATGGAGATCAGTGCGTTTCGCGATTTTTATGATACACTCTTTGTTATGTGTTTTTTCTTTTAACCTTATATTGGCCGATTCAACCACAGAAAAAGAATATTAGCCATAACCATAAAAGTTGAAGTTCAAATGTCAATGTCATTTAGTTTCGCACAGTGATAAATTCCAGTGACATGCAATTTTTGTAATGGTAAAATATTTGTAAGAAACTGCAAACAAATGCAAATGTGCAGTCGATGTGTGGAATGCGACAACATTATGCTCGGTAAGCGGCTTATTTTTTTTTTATTTAACCCGAAAAATAATAATAAATGACCACATGCATAGCCTGTGTTGAGTTGTTATCAACATAAATACAGAAACAGACACGATTTTTGCACCGTTTTTTCTGATAACCGAATAGACTCCTTCATGCGCAAGTTCCACTTGAGCTCGGCTGGTTCTTATTATAAATAATTTTGTAATATATTTTTGCAGATAATTTCAATTATTGCGAGTGTTGTGGCTTAGAAACAATTAGGCAGTTAAGAATAAACAAGGCTCGGGCACTATCAAACCTTTTTCCTAAAAAGCAAAAAGCTGCTTCTGCTGCATCACAAGATTTATTTGATGACTTTCAGGTAAGTTAATAGTGTAGGTCACTGAGTAAAGTAAAATAAATATAGAGGTGGGAGGGTATACCTACACCTACATACATTCACAATACTTATTAATATTTGAATATTTGTCTAAAAATAAAATATATTTCTGTTATTAAACTCAGTTAGCTCAGATGGTAAGAGCGCGACAACGGAGAAGTCGAGGATGTAGGTTCAACTCCTGTATGTGGTGTATTTTTTCATCACATCTTATTAAATTTGTTTAATAAGAGTAATACAATATAGCATTAAAAATTGAAATGAAAGCTTTAAATTTTCTATTCATAAATATATTTCTATTTTAAGGTTGATAACGAAGAGTTGACGCTAATCGAGGATTCATTGATGATTGATGATGCTTCTTCGGACAACAAGAAAAAACAGCTACTGTCAGTCAGCAGTGATGATGCTTCTTCGGACAACAAGGAAAAACAGCTGCTGTCAGTCAGCAGTGATTTTATTTCTTTAGAAGAAGAAGAGAAAGAAAATATATCAAATGGCGGGCAGACCCCCGAAAAAACGTAAATATTCAAGCAGGTTTAGTACAGAATATCAGCCCCCCAGGACTAACTATTTATATTTAGCACTTTCAAATAACACCATTCAAGTACCAGTACATTCAGTTGGTTCTATGATTTATGAATGTGTTCAATGTCAAGCACTTCATTCTGACTATTAATAAGAGTTATTTACATAACCTATATTAAAGATTGAATTTGATTGTTTTGTTAATTTGTCTTAGTTTATTTTGAATGTTGATTTAAAATAAAAATAATTTGTGTAAAAACTTTTGCAGTTTTTATTTACCATATTTATTAAACACAACTAACGAAGCTATATAAATCTATATTTAATATTCTTTGAGAACCGATGACTACAGAAACATCTATCTACATTTTTTGCACCTAGAATTGTGTATTATGAGTCAAATTTCACCCGAGCGAAGCCGGGTTTTCATCTAGTTTAATATATTTTCATGTTTTTTGAAAGTATAAGTTATGGAAATTATACAGTGAGTCAGACCAACACATATTTTTTGTATATTTGAAATTCCCTCAAATAACTTTAAACCTTACACACAATATGGAGCTCAAAATCGTTTGAGGTTATTATAATTTATTTTGTATATTGTCATGGGATGGCATTATTTTGTATACATTATATTTTATATACTACCAGTAATTGATTAGGTTGTATACAGTTTGCAATTTTAGTGTATAATTTACACATTTACCCAACTGCAGAAAGGCAGTTGATTTTTACGTACTTATTATACGTAGGTTAGATAGAGGTCTATGTTTTTGTAGTCCTATTATACATAGTTTACATTGTCTATGCTCAAAAATGATGTTCCACAATTTTATATACATTATAAATAATATAAAAAGTTGATACTTATACAGGGCGATTGTGGCAATACTAGAATTTAAACAAAATACTATATTCCTATATTATTGTGAAATCATATTTTTGTACATTTAAAAAGTGTTCGTAGATATACATTTTGTTTTTGTTTTCAGATGTTTATGTATAAGTTTAATATTAGTTAATTTAGTTATATTATACACGTGGATGAAATATAATTATATAGATAAGACTTGATGACAAACAGTAATTTGGGGCCAGTATTTTTGAAATTATAGAAATAAATGTAATTTTAAGGATTTAAAAAGTTTTAAATATTAATATAAAAAAATCAAAAGGGTGCTATGATCCTAGATTATTTAAAAAAGATGTAATTGTGAAAATTATTTTAATTATTGATCTCGCATTGGAAATTCCTAACTCTCTATTTTTTTCATTGAATTTTGATCTCAATTTGATTTTTTAAAGAAAAATGTTTGACAGCTAGCAACCAACACAAATAGACGAATTGCCTCAATTTTGAAGCTTATTTTGTAAGCCATAAAGTGTAAAATTCATTGGGGAAACTCGTCATTTTATTTTAGGTTGACCTGCTGAAAATTGTACCTTATAATATACAAAATTTATATTTCACCATTTGAATATGTTATACTGTGGATGATATACAGTCAGAATCAAATAGTTCGTGACACCCAAAGTAGCCAAAAAGTTCGCAACACGTCTTTGTTACAATTGGAATAAGGTTGTGTTGTAAACACTTTGGGTGTCTCGTACTATTTGACGCTGACTTTACTTACTAAAAATATAATTGTTTTGTAATTTACTAAAACCCGGTCTCGGTCTCTCGCACACTCACTGCGGGCGCCCGTCGCACAGTCGCGACAGCAATATAATTACGCGCGAGCGATAAGGATGGGTAGCTTGGGTCAATGGACAAAATTTTACGTGCTCAGCGACCAGACTACATCTCTCTGAATTCTGTCGTGTACTAAAATGTATTTATAATATTGGGCTCGATTATTTTTATTAAACTCTGACTTTCTTTTATTAGTGAATAAAAAGAGATAGAACTACTTTATGAATGTCAAATTGAATATTAAGCTTTGTTTTAAGTTGTTGTCGAGTTTCTTCCGCCACTTCTTACCGGCACCAGCCCATATGTTGTCCCGAAGTGGTGGTAGGGCAAGCTATACATATTTGGGACGTGTATAAATGCCTTAAAAAAGGGCTTATATGAAAGACTAAGCGGCTGCCCGCGACTTCGTACGCGTGGATCCCGTTTTACCCCCATAAGGGTGGAGTTTCGTGAAATCCTTTCATAGCAGATGCCTACGTCATAACATCTACCTGCCAAATATCAGCCCGATCCGTCTAGTGGTTTGGGCTGTGCGTTGATAGATCACTATGTCAGTCAGTCATCTTAGAATTATATTGAATTTGAAAATATACTGAGGTTATACGTTATATAAGAAGTTTATACAAAACAAGTTATATTCAGTTTGACAGACATGTGTTACAAAAAATATTGTGACTTAAATTTTGTGTCGTAAAAAAGTGATAATTTATCTCCACTACAAAAACGCCTTTTTGTGTTAGTTTAAGAGCAGATGTTGTGTTATTTTTATGTTAATTTTATATTATTTTTAACTTCTAGCATTTTAGCGGCCAGTAATGCAACTATTAGTAAAAGCACTTATAGGCTGGGGCTTGACACATAGCGAGTGTAATCTATACCAGAGTAAATACAAATGAGTAGGTCATCTTTATAGAAACGCACCGAGCGCGGTCTATCCTATCTATACTAATATTATAGATGCGAAAGTAACCTAAACCACTGAACCGATTTTGATGAAATGTGGCATAGAGATAGTTTGAGTCCCAGGAAAGGATAAAGGATAGTTTTTATCCGGGTTTTTGAAGCAGGGACGCGCGCGATAAAGTTTTTATGTGACAGACAAAATTCCACGCGGGCGGAAAGCTAGTAATAAAAATATTTCAAGGTACAGTCGGCGTTAAAAAATAATAATATATCTTTGGACAATTTCACACAGTGCCAAGTAAATAATTCGTGACACCCAAAGTTGCCAGAAAGTTCGCAACGTCTTTGTTATATTAGAATAGGGCTGTGTTGTTAACTTTTTGGCCACTTTTGGGTGTCACGAGGTATTTGAAGCTACGTTATTATAGGTNACCCTCTCGGATTCCACTTCGGCAAGCCGAAGACGAGGGTCTTGACCGACTCTCGGGAGCACTCGGGTTAACAACTGGCCCCGTGGTGTCGCTACTCACCAACAGCTCGCCACAAAGCTGCCCTGCGGCTTATTATTATTATTAAAAGGTATCTGGAGTGCTGATCAATCATCGGTTTTTCAAATGAACTCTATAGAACCACAGTATTAGGGATGGACCTAACTGATGGATGCGGCGAAAAGTTAGTGCAATGTAAAAAGATTAATCCATATAAAATATAAATAATATTACGTAACAATAAGATAATGCTACGGTAGAACAAGCTCGAAATGCAATATTATGTTAATATACTAGAGATTTAGCACTATACAGGGTGTTAGGTAAATGGGTACTTATATGAGCCGACACACCAATAAATGGTATGGTGAAGTCAGAAAATTGATATCTTTATTTTAATTTCATACAAATCAGATTTTATAAAATTAATTGTGTATGAAAATTAAAAAAATTAAAATGATATATCAAATTTCTGACTTTACCATACCATTTATATGACCATGTTAACAAGTGCTAGTGTCGGCTCATATACCCATTTACCTAACACCCTGTAGTACTGAATAAAATATAACTTTTTTGGGAATTTGCTCATTAAAGCTCATTTCGTAGGAACTTTGTAAAAACATAAACGTATAAATTCAGGACACGAAAGCATTTCAACCTCAACTTTTAGTATTTTGCTACAGTAAAAGTTGAATGTACGTGGGTAGCACGTATCTTCATCAACATAAATATCCTGTTTTACCTCTAAAAATCTGCTCTATTTTCCCCAAATCGTGTAGGGACTACTTACAGAATATTATAAAAAAGTAAAGCAAAAATCTTTGCTTAGCCTTTTTTCATCACCTTATTTCCTTCTGCCTTATTTATTCCACCCATTTCTTTCGAGCCACAATTAATTACTTTTTACGTGGAACCTGCGTAATTAATGTGCATTGGAAGCGAGGAGGGCTCCTGGGCTCCTAACGTGGGATTGTGGACTTCGTAATACTCCGTAACAAAGTTTAATTCCCCCCGCACGGGGCACGTAAACATATAGCTCCGTAATAATTTCGTTTTAAAATTAGTAAATCCGTACATTTTAAGTGGAAAAATGTGTCATTGATAATACATTAGTGTTAATACCTGGAAAAAAGTGTTATTTCGAAGTGAAGTGAACTATAAACGAAGATAAACTGTTCTTCAAGTGAATAATGTGACTTATGTACGTACTCCTTATATCATAATAAACTCATTAAAATCAACATCGACACTAAGTTTACTGGTGAAAAACTGAACAGTGTTAATTAATATGTGTAAATAATGCCTGCAATTGGATTTTTCTTTCAAATATGTTTTTGTGTGCATAACCGTTCCTTCTTCTAACAACAAAACGGACATTGACCTCTGAGTTCTGCGTTCCTTCTGCATACTAAAATCAAAGAATTTAAACTGCTAACTCCATCTATCCCAAGCTGCATGAACTACATCGTAGTCGCGATTCCCTGCACAGACGACTAATTGGGCACTGCTTCTGCTTATTTGCATGTTTAACTGTCCTACTAGTGCCGACGACATCCGCAAGATGGCGCTAAATTGCAAAAAATGCAAAAAGGTCATATCGAACAAACAATTTCTTACATGCTCTATCTGTGAAAAGAAATACCACATCGATTGCATAAATGTATCTTTCCAACGCTTTCGAATAATGACACTGGAAAATAAAAAAGCTTATCGATGCGATCCATGCTTTAATAAACTAAAACCCTCAGCCACAGCGAAGAAAACGCTTCAGGTGTCACTGCCAAATAGCTCAACCGACTCCCACCCATCCGTGCTGGAAGCTTCTACACCTCTAAATAATACCTTATCTCCACCACAGAACAATACTTCAATGTATGACCAGGATTATGTCACCTGTCGCAACAAACATCGGGTTAATATCCCGACCAACAACTCCTTCGAAAGCTTAAATAACGACGAGGAAACACCATCGGCAACACCGAGTCCGACCGAAA